CTCAGTACTATGATACGGTATAAAGCCTGACTGTAAATCCTCACAGATACCATGTTTCTCTAAGAAGGAATATAATTGTGAGGATACTGCCTTTTCTAGTATCTTGGACAGAAAAGGGAGATTCGAGATCGGTCTGTAATGAACTAGTTATTTGGGGTCAAGTTGTGTTTTTTTAATGAGAGCCTTATTAACAGCCAGTTTAAAGTTTTTTTGGGACATATCCTAATGACAATGACGAAGTAATAATAGTCAGAAGAGGATCTATGACTTCTGGAAGCACCTCTATTAGTCGCTTAAATGGAATAGGGTCTAACATACATGTTGGTTCAGATGATTTAACAAATTTATACAATTCTTCCTTTCCTATAGAAGAGAATGAGTGGAATGGTTCCTCTATAATGCGATCAATCTGATGCGATACATGTGGCTAACGGATGCATGGTTACAATTTTATCTCTAATAGAATCGATCTCGGAAGTAAAGTAGTTGATAAAATCATTAAAATTATATATATATATATATATATATATATATATATATATATATATATATATATATACAGTATTGAAAGCAATTAGTTACATTACAATATTACTGTCTCTGAATTTGTCACACAGTCGTGGTTGTAGTCAAGGTGCACGACGAAGGAGTAGAAGTAAGGAGTCTTTAATACACATCAACACACATAGACCATTGAAAATAATGTTAATCCAGCACAAAGGAATGACAGAAACTGAGGGCTTATAAGGACAGGCAAACTAAGGAGCAAACGAGATGAATAATACAACACAGGTGATCAGAATAAACGATGATTATCTAAATGAGAACAGGAACTGAACCAAATAGGGGCAAACAGGAACTAAACAGAAACAAGCACGTGACAGATATCACCCCCCTCCCGGAAGGCGCGTCCCGCGCTGTAACAGTAACATCGGGGAGGGGGGGCGGGCGGATCAGGGAGCTCCGGGAGCCATGGCGGATCAGGCAGTTCAGGTTGCCATGGCGGAGCAGGGGACTCAGGAGGCCATGGCATATCCTCCGTGGCCTTAGCCGGCTTAGCCACAGGTATATGCCCCCCCCCCAAACATTTTCTTGGGGAAAACTAGGAATACTAGGGGGGCACTCTGGAGGAGCGGCTACTTGAGGGCGCTCTGGAGGGTGCTTTCG